AAACCGGCCTGCTTGACTCATGAAGCCCAGTCTGGTTGGCACTGACAATGAATAAGCGGCCAGACCATGCTGCGGATAGAGTACACAAGCAGTATGTCTCAGGGTCGCACCTTTGAACATCATTGCCCATTTTAACTGCTGAACATGGAGCCCTGTGCACCTCAGCTCCCTCAAAGTGCCACCACTATTTTTTTTTTTTGACTACTTACTTCGACAGGGAAAGCAGGACAGCAATGGATTATTGTCTGTACTGTTCATTTCACCAAGGGTGGATATTTCAAAAAAAAAAATCAGGTAAATGCAATGCACTAGGCAAGCATCTAGGCAGAGAATCTGCTCTGTAATAAACAGAAAAATTCAGAGCAAGAGAAACAAACTGAGTGATGGTTCATTGCTCAGCATAAGGAAATGAACTCGGGAGGTTCTGGGCATAATTAAATCAATCGACTAAACACTTCTGCTTACCAACAATTCAGTACAGCATTTGGTTAGCTTTCCCTCTGCTCTCCTACATCGCAATATAATTACTGAAGTCAGTGAAACAGCAGTGTAACATATTTCAGAATTATGACCAGTATCTTCAATTGTTTATATGCAGTTGGAAGGTTGATACGAACTAAATTGCTTTTGGATGCTGGCACATCTCTATGCTGCTCCCCTCTGTCTGTATCATTTTTTGAGTACAGTACACTTTTGCACATTGTTCTTTAAGAAAAAGGAAAAAAAGAAGAATCCTCTTCAAACTTTCAGATGACTTAAAGGAGTGAAAGACTGAAGAGCACCATGATGAACCTGTATTAGTACATAGAAAGGAAGTGTTGCAGATTACAAACAAAATCTTAATTTTGCCTTTTTTTATCCTGAACATTAAAAAATAATCAAGGAAAGCGCTTGTTGCTGGGAAATAACATGAAAGACTGACTACTAATCCCTGCTGCTTCAATCCACCTAACAGAAAAAAAAGAGCTTCCAAGGGCCAAACATGAGTTGGCTGAATTGGTCACATAGTGGTAGGGACTAGTAAAAAAAATTTCAGTTTCAGAACCAGAGAACCCCTATTACAAAGGGGAAGCTGAGGTAGACAGAAAGTATCTTAACCATAAGTCTCACCCGCACATCTTAATTCCTCCTAGCCCATAATACTCTTTCCATTTTAGTAGTGCAACCTTTCCATTTAATTGCTCATGTGGTCATTTGAGCAGCCTGACACCTGCTTTGTAAAGCATGGATGGGCTCAACTTTCATGCTATCCATCTTTCCCAGTGAGGTTTTACCAAAATTAAGACCTACAAGATGCAGTTTCAGCTCTCAGTCTCATTATCTGATGCTTTCAGAAGGGTTGTGCAGCACCCACATCTGCTGTGTGCAGAAAAGGCTCTATGTATTTAAAAAACAAAACAAACAAACAAAACCACACACAGAAACATTTGGAAAGAAGTTTTCGGGAGGTGCAAATTCATGCAGCTCTGTTGCAGAGAAATCTAAGCATCGGAACAGCAGAACAGCTGAAAATCTGATTGCATGCTGGAGTTCCATTGGGGTGCAATATGAGTTGAATGCCCAAAACATTTTGACCAAGCCAAAAAAAAGTCACCTAAATGAAACTCTTGCAAAATTTGAACCTGCTTGTATTCCCTCTCATAACAGCAACCATTTGCATGAAAGGTATGTTCCTTTTGCCTTCAAAATATAACATGGAGTCACTATCTGCACAGTGCCACATAACAGAAAAATAGCTGGTGCTGCTCATTAGAAATTTCCCAGCTCAGAAGGGACATGCAGTGGGCCTGCTCCCACTCAGCAGAATCCTGCCAAAAGCCGGGAACCCCCTGCCAGTCACTTCGGTGCTGCTGTGGGAGGGGGTGCTTTCAGGCTGAGATGCTCTCTGGGGTTTTGCTGAGCGGAAGCCCTGGGCCCCACTCCTACAAAGAAGTGCAGTGTGCCGTGACTCTGGGGGAACGATTTCCAGTGCGCAGGGCCAGCCATGCGAGACCTGCGGCAGACAAGGGCCTCTCACCGTAGCAGGCGAAGATGAGGCTTGTTAGTTGCCTTCCTGTTCTCCAGCAAGCTTCCCTACAGAAAAAGTCCCTGAAAAAGTGGGAACCTGCTCTTAAAAATGTGTCCATGAGAAATGCTCTGCCATGAGGTGACACTTTAAATAAGTGGTGTCTTGCATCATCATCTGGATTTCAGTTTCAAAGGCTTTTTTTTTTTTTTTTGAGCATCTGGGAAAAACCTTGGAAATTACACCATTCAATTTGAAAATGAACTTACTTAAAAATGGTTTGAATCCAAAGCAAGGCTTCCTTGTGAAAGACATTGCCAGAACTCCTATATAGTCTCCCTCATGGATGTACCGATGGAGAAAACACTTGGCTTTTGCATTCAGGCCAGCACTTACCTGGACGCAAATCACAAGTACAACTCCAGACAGGTAATCAACTCAGTACTGGTAATTGCTTAGCAGTGAGCATGCCCTTTGCTTCCTCCAGAAAGATAATGGTAAATAACCTATTGCCATCTGCATTAGTCGTTAATCTACTTCTTAAATATTTAAAGGTGAGCTTCATAACAATCTTGCTTTTGAAGCCGTTCTCCTTCAGGAAGCAGGGCCTTATGCTGGAATTTGCAAAGAAGCCTTAGGAAACTAAATGCCTGATTCTAGTAGGCTTTCACCGCCATTTCATTTCCCATTTCCCTTTATCTTCCTTCTGGTGTAATCGTTCCAGCTTCCCTGCTACTTTTGAAAGATTCCAAGCAGATAAAGTTCTCCTTTAAATGTGCCCCAATACGTTCTGTTCATGCCCATGCTGGTTATTCCTTAATATAGCAACTTAGCACAAAGAGAAGCTGGCAACTTGCAGGATGAGGACTCACCAAATGCAAACACACACACAATTTCCTGGCCACCTATCCTGTACTTCTGTCAACTTAGACTCCAGAGCAGGCCAGCCGGCTCTTGGCGGCACTGATGCATCCCCATGGTCATAGGTGGTTTGATCCAGATGGTGCAGGAAACCAGAGGCCACGGCTGGTCAACTAATTGAGACAGTATAAATGCACCAGGGAGGCCAAACGGAGGCTCACGGAAATGCTGAGCAGTGTAACTTGCACTGAAACCATTGGAACCCGGCATCCAAGTAACCGTGATGACCTAAGCCACTTACCTACAAGTCACACTGAGTCTCTCTCTGGTAAAGCTCGTAACTGCACCCAAGCTCCCTGAGTCACAGTCATCAGAATAACTTTCCTGTATACACATGAAGCCAAAGCAAGTAATTCGTTCTTATAATGGTACAGGAAAGAAGGAGGTATAATAAGATAATAAGGTTTCAAGTTGGAAAACTAATTCTGTATATATGCTCAGAAAAAAAAACAAACTAACAAAACCCAGAGGTCCCTGAGATTGAGGAACTCTAACCACACAATGACACAGCAGACAAAGAAAGCAAATACCAAAAGCAAGCACAAAGTCAGCCAAACAGTTACCTACAGAAATTTCCCCCTCAGCCCCTCGGGGTCTTAGTAAACATAGTATCAAGCTCCTTGATCTGCCCACCTAGAAGATAGAAAAGCCCAATCTCTTTTGGATTCTTCATTTGAGCAGTGTGCAAAAAGACTTTTCCAGCAACGGCAGCAATATCAAGGCAGCTATGTCCCATGCAAGCTTCCAGGAAGCATTACTATAGTAGGAGAGCCTAGTCTTGACAAGCTCAGGGAAGATAAGGGGAAAGGCAGATGTTGGCCAGAAGTTGTCTGGAAACAGAAACAGTAGCAATGGCATTAAAGAAATGCCTGACTTAAAGATGCAAATTTTGATCTCTTCTAATGCACGTTTGTAATTTCTGCTCACCTTTGAGGTGCACGTATAAATCCAAAGGAAATGTACTGATTCCACTACCAGTTCAATACTACCTAAAACATCAGGCTGTTAGCATTGCCTTTGTCCTTGCAGAAACAACATAAAGATTCATAGACTTCCCAGAGGAAAACAACAGCTGAATCTAATCACCTTCCAGGATGCTTTACATCACATACAAAGAGCAGAAGCTAATGGGAAACAATGCATTTTGCCATAGTGCTGCCACTTGCCAGACACATTGAAATCTGACTTAATAAGCAGTCAGAACTTCTTGCTACAGGGCTTCAGAGCGCGCAAGATAATTTCACAAATCTATGCTTAGTCTCCAAAGTTTTCACCTGAAAGACACAGAGGCATGCAATAGAGAAAAGGCATTAGCTGCTGCTAAGCTCACAAAGACACATAAAGAGCAAACTAATCTGATTTATAAACTATTACACAGAGAGAAAGGTTCATGCTATTTCTATATTAGATAAATTGATGAAAAAATGTTTAAGATATCAGCCTCTTCCATTCAGGTATACTGTAGTCCAGGTTAATGGAACGGTATGGTGAAATGCAGCGGAGGTTGCTACAGTTGCAGAAACAAACATTGTTTACCGATGGTGAGAATGACAGAAGTGCAAGAAAGAGCAAACACCTACCTGTGTTAGTGATCACTAAACTATCTGAGCCAAGGTGGGCCACGACAAGCGAAGTTATCTTGAAAACAACAAAGTTGATTTCCTGTAAACTCATAACTGTATTGCCCTCAACCGTTTTATCTTTTTTATTAGTTGAAAAACGTACTTATCAAAAAAGACACAGAATAAGATTTCTCACAGGTTTCACTTTTAAAAAGGAAAATTCTCTGGTATGTAACCACTGTAACCTTTGATATAATACCTGCATCCTGTTATTGTTTTTATGAATCATAGTCTTCCACTTGATTCATAGTGATGAAAGCCAACAAAGCAATCATGCTGCCCTGTCTTAATATCCCTACTGGAAAATTAGCATCATGCCTTAGTATTTGTCTCTCTTGAGCCACGCATCTCTTCAAGCTTTGTCTCCCATGCTATACTAATGCTCGGTACGCATCATGATCTTCATCATTTATCACAGTTATGAAAAATAAAGGCAATCAGAGCTCACTTACATTTTTGCCAGTGCATATTCTGTGGCTGGACGGAGTCTTTTTTCTCTTTGATGAAGATAGTTTGGCTTTTTGATTGCTAACGTGTGTTTGACTCCCTTACGGGGATGCGATAACTGACTGTCAGGATGTTTCTTTCAGCTTTTTAAAAGCTCCGTGTTCCCGCTGAACTCTGTGATGTCATCACATCCTCCAACCACAACCACTTTTATATTTTTCCCTTGGTCTATGTTGTTCTTCATGACGCTAAACTGTTCCTACAATGGCAGAGGAAGATATTATGCACAGAAAGGCACTTTATATCACTAAAATGTATTTAAACAAGCAATCAATCCTGGAACCTGCCGCTCATGGGACTTTTGCTGGAGTTTCGCAAAATGAGGTCAAAAGGTTGTAGTGCAGAAAAGCACAAGGGTCTTTTAGTAAGACTTTGCCTCCTGGGAAGCTAAAGATGACCTTGCTTTATGTGAGGCAGCGTTCTACCATCTCAGATGGCATAACTATTGGCCCCATACACTTAAGCTGAACTGCTCCACTATGCACGCCATTTCTGCATGGCTCTTTAAATGCTCAACACTTAAAATAAAAGATTTGAGTGTTTTCTCCTGCCTTATGAGAATCTCAACTCCCTAGGGCCACTAAATTTGAACACATGAGGAAACACCTGTAAACACTTCAAGCCTCATTAAATGAGGACGTCCTTCATTTAAAAAAGAAACCATTTTTTTCTGTTTTGTTTTTATCAAAATAAGTTTCCTAATAAAGGAGAGATGGCTCTTCCAAAATAGCTTGCAAAGCTAAAGGAAGGCTACAAAAACTCACCATAGGAGTTTCAATAAGTTCAAAAACTTATTCAAAAAAACAGCACCCATACATTTTTCCTATTCACACCACTGCATGAACATCACCTCATAAAACTCCCTGGAAGTTGCAAATGCTACTTTCTCCATTTCTTGGATTTGCAAGGAAAGCTGAGAGAAGAGGTTTTTCAGATGTGTTGCCTTCTGCCCATAAGGCAAGCAGAGCTATATGGATTCTTTACTTACCAATCAAAACTTTGTTATGAATATTCACAAGTAAGGTTGTGACTTAGGAGTGTCTTTCTCAGAGAAAAGTGTATTGGAGGCTGCACAGTTAGCGGTGGCTTTAGGATTCTGGCATCCCATCTCGCACTTTGGTATTCGTTAATAATCATTGCAACTGCGAAGTTCAACATCACAAAATTTTCCTCATTTTCCTCCCATGAAGAGAACATGGCAGAATCTGGTCAGACCCTAGACAAGGAGTCTGTCAAAGACAATTTCATCTTTCATCCTTTCAGGCATGCCCAACACCCCTGCGGACCATGTCCATATTGTGAACGCACTTTTGGCCTTGCATTTAATATGGGAGTAGAAGTGGGGTGGGGCGGAGGGAAGAGGGTAGAACTAAAAACCCAGCAACAATAATTGATAAAATACATAAATCGCATAAAGATGAAGGCCAAATGAGTATATTCCCTCTGGTTCGAAGATTTGTCCAAAAAAACAGAAAACAAAACAACAACAACAACAACCCGAAGTGGAGTGGAAAGAAATAAGGAACATGTTCCTTCTCACTGCTGCCCTCTGAGATAGCACCCACCTCCTCTGTTCTCAGGCCCAAGGGCATTGTTTAGCCAAGGTTTTGCATATTTGCATTAATGCTTACTCCCCGACACACAGTGTAATATCCTCTCTGCTATTAAAATGCTTAGTAAGAGCAGGCAATCAGTTAGCTAATACTTCATAGATGGGCAGGTAAGATAGTCTAGCTCATAGCCCAGCGAAGTGAGGAAGAATATTAAAAGCAGATTTCAATGGCATTTCACTTATGCCACAGCACAGAGAATTTGTAAACTCTCAGACCTCTGATTCACTTCTCCCCTTAAATTAATAGAACTTTATCTAGCATTAAAAACAAAACAGCAAAAACCAACAAAAATCCTGACTTGCAAATTTGTGAAATTAAAATAAATGCTTGTAATAACATGAGATCTTCTCAAGGCAAACAACGTTTTTGAAAACCGGGGACCAATCATACATCGTTCACTCAAGACTTACAGGATAAGGCAGTTTCTGAAAGTACTGGAAAAAAATACCAGGGCTTGTCTTATGCCCTGACTCAAGCCAATTTCAGAGTGGTTAGGACTGTACTCTGGGGGTAGGCTTTCCCCTACAAGTCTGAACTTTGATACCTGTGAGCTACTACAAAATAGTTAGTAAGGCAAGTTCCTAGGTGTTTACCAGGAACAAGAACAGCCTAATATAGCACCTCTAATCTTTAGTCACAAATACAGTCCTTATTTGTGTTCTCCAGAGCAGTAGCAGTCCAGTCTTACATTTGCACATGCCAGGTCACATGAATATGTGCAGGTAAACTGCATACTATATAAATGTAGACAGAAACAGAGATTTGCTGTATCCGAGTCTGTATAGACATATCTTCTCACCTTTAACTGCATTGTATTTGAAATGCTGAGCACAACATTAAATCACTAAAGAATGAATTGTTTTTAAGGTCTATATGTCAACACTTTAAAACTGTGAAACCTTGCAGATAAAGTCATGTTGCAGTAAATATCTAAAATGAGGAACTTGCAAAAAGAGCATGTTATCCACAGATAAAACAGCCCAAACTATTTTGGTGGTTGATAGTCAGTCATCCATGACCATATTTTACACACTTACTAAACAAGCTTTTGATGCATTACCAAAGAATCACTCTTCAAAACATAACTTTAAAGCTATGCATGAGATACAAAGGGCCGTGTGTGTGTAGTTTGGTGAGCCAACACATCAAAATAAAAGCTCAGTCAAATACGAGCCTATTTCATGTGTTTTACAACAAAACACAGATTGGGTAAAGACTATTTTACTTAAAAAGGTCAATAGGAAGACTTAAAAATAGAGCAAAAAAAAAGAACAATTTAGCAAGTGTCATAATCATGTCTGCCTCTTCATCTAACAACTGTTAGCTGATCACAATTAAAGTTTCTAGTCTATAAACCTGAAATACAGGCAGCAGGAAGGCTGCCTGCTAATAGTTGCAGTTTAAAATATGCTCAAAGTTACCTGCAGACTCAACCCAATTACAGTCCTCCTTGACCTGTTCTACCAATGCACCAAGTTTTATGTCAAGTTACACCTTAAAACTGGTCAAACCCTGGGCTAACAGTGGATGTCATTACCCAGAATCTAGATGCAACTTCTCATATACTTGATGGCAATACTTGTGAGTCATGCCCAGAGACTGAAAGATTCACAGGATATGTTATAATTAGGTCTGACCACCACACAGCTGTTCAAAGGATAACCTGTGAAAATAGCTGCAGAGAACACTAAAGCATCTAGGTGAACACAATCCACAAACACTGCTCTTCAGAGCTATGGTAAGTTAGAATTCTCCTAATCAGGGTTGCCAGTTCTGTACACGCACGATCTCATCAAAGATGGCAGGCAGATCCAGGTGGATCCCCACACCTGTGCAGAACCCAACTCTGCTCTGAGGACAGGACTAGAATGACAAACACTATATGGGTCTCAACTCCTCCTGTTCCAGCCAAGATGATAGAATGCGAGAGAAGAAGTTCCCATGACTGCAGAAATGCAGATGAGCAGAATAAAGTGACTTGAGAGTTGGTAGCTGTTCAGTAATCTTACAGCCAAGCTTATTACAGCCACCAATAGATATATATTTTTAGGCTTGACACTTCTTACAGATGCCAGGAGATGAGCAAAAGAACTACAGAAGAACTCAGAAGAACCAAATCAAAGAACTGTTCCTAATGTCTGCTGTAGCAACATGGGCCTGCAAGCATTTCAAGCATCCAAATGATATAAAATCATAGGGATATACTATTTTTGACCTTCTGAAGCTGAGCATCCTTTTGAAGATTAGTAATAAGACACTCCCTCCATATCTCTCTATTATTGCAAGCTTACAAGCTTATCTCTTGTCCCAGGAATGAGTAATTTTCTTTCTCAAAATGGGCTAATGCTGTTGACAGATGCCCCAGATTTTGTTTTTAAGAACACATGTCAATATTAGCACCTCAGTAGTGCTGTACAAAGTGACAAGTATGAATATAAAAGTATTAGCCTGATATTTCAAAAGCTGTGGATCTGTTGTCTTAGGCCAACTTGATGTGGCGTGACATTTCACGATGTATCTACTGTATCTGCATTTATCAGTTAACACTGGCAACTCCTCAAACACTCCTAAAGCAATACAGAAGCAAAATGTTAGTTTGAATAAAAGACGAAAATTTCCCATTTTCAGTAGAACCTGGGGCTTCACCTACATGAGTCAGGGCAAGAGAGAGATCAAAACAACCTGACGAGATTTACGAGACAAGGTGAGACACTTGTGTCAGGAAACATAATAAATCTTATGACTCTCTGGACAATACCTGAATTTACTACATACCTCCATGTAGAAAGGCCTAAAAACGACAGACATCTCTGTTTTCTCATGGGCTGAGGTAAAAGTCTGATACAGGCAGAGAAAATGTAATCGCTTGCAAGAACAACCTATTCTTTCACTCTTGGATCTCAGACTCAGAAAGCACAGACACATCCTAAGTTTGCAGATAAAAGTAACACTTTTTTCAATTAATAGTCCTGTATTTTCCTTTTTACTTGGGAAATCTGCCCCTCTAAAAACAGGTATGTACTGCAAAGCCAGGCCAAGAACAGAGCCAAAGGAACAGGCATACCTCTTCACAGCATACATGCATTTAGTATTTATCTTTCTACCTTCATGATTCAGAAATACAGGGACGCCTGCTGAGATAGAATAGTTAAAAGACTGCAAGCAAAGCAGGGTTCAGGACTCTGTGTGTGTGTGTATGTGTGTGTGTGTGAAATATGCATGTATATGCATACAAATATATATACATATATTTTTCAAATGAGCCTTGTACCTCCCACTTCACCTTCTGAAACAAGTTCTGATTCATACCTGTGTTTTGATAAGGAACAAATGATGCAGCCTTCATATTTCTCAGCTCCAGCAATAAGCACTTCTGGCAGTGTAAATCACCATAACCC